AGAAATGTGGTAGACTTCTTAGGGTATGTCTTCACTGGTGAAATTACTAGTTTAGGCAGACATGTCCACACTAGCGCCGATTAAGATGTTACACTAAAAATAGATTTCCTCAATCATATGCTGCCTTGACCTGGTTTCCTCAATGGTGTGATTGTGGAGCAGTATCACGGACAATAGCTCATGTGGTAAAAAAGCACCCAACTTATAATGTGGAAGGTGGTCTATGAGGTCTAGATTTGATACAGAGGCAATCCTGTGGTTAAAGACCTGGATATCAGGCAACATCTTCAGCATATGAGAGAGCAAAGCAGCCTTAGAGCAGAAATAGCCAGCCTGAGGAAGATCAACTGTGTTGGAGGCAGATAACCAGTGGCACTGGTAGAGCTGTCACAGAGGCACCTACAGCGTGATCCCTCCTGTACCAAGAGGTATGGCTGGGACATGGCTGTGTGCTGATGACTTCCTGCTATATTAACTCTTTGCAGTTGTTGTCAGTTGTTAGACCAGCCCTAGTTTACACCAAGAGTAGAGCTTCAAGTAGATCATCCTCAAGATGTAGGGAGCTCAGAGTTGACGTAGTTACTTTTAGACCTCCCTTCCCCATTCAGAGCTGTGATTGACACTTTTTGGTGGCAGCCAAATATGTAGGCCATGATGTCCAAACACTTATACTTCAAAATGTTCAATACATTGGTCCGTATGGTTGTGGATCAGGCCCATCTCCAATTATAATCTATTTGGAGTTGAACCATGGAAGAAACTCCTAGAACAGGTTGTTTCATGTACTAATCCTTGCAGCTCAATTAAATGCATATTTGAAGCACCATTTAGACTCTTCCTAGGGAATCTACATTATGGCTGTGTCTAGACTGGCATGATTTTCTACAAATGCTTTTAATGGAAAAGTTTTCCGTTAAAAGCATTTGTGGAAAAGAGCATCTAGATTGGCATGGACTCTTTTCCGCAAAAGCACTTTTTGCGGAAAAGTGTCCGTGCCAATCTAGACGCGGGTTTGATCGCCATTTTTGCGATCGGGGTTTTTTTGCGCAAAACAAATCTGAGCTGTCTATACTGGCCCTTTTGCGCAAAAGCTTTTGCACAAAAGGACTTTTGCCGGAACGGGAGCAGCACAGTATTTCCGCAGGAAGCACTGATTTCTTACATGAGATTGTCAGTGTTCTTGCGGAAATTCAAGCAGCCAGTGTAGACAGCTGGCAAGTTTTTCTGCAAAAGCAGCTGTTTTTGCGGAAAAACTTGCCAGTCTAGACACAGCCTATAAGTATTGAGAGCATTTACACCAGGAAATAAAGCTTATGGTATTCTTCTGGAGAATTGACTCTCACAGTAGAAAATGGCATAGTGTAATTAAAAGAAGACATTTTATGCTGTTATTGATTAGCAAAACAATGTATCCATGTGATAGTGCAAGTAAAATATGCATCACACCATAAATACATGTCATTTTGATACTGTTTCACATAAGTATGTTCTAATAATTGAAATCCTTAAATAAACAAAAAAAATCCTACTCAAACCAAACCTGCCATTCAATAGTAAGCATATTTCCTTTTCTTACTGGTTGATTCTCTTGTACCATCTTACAGATTACTATGGCTTTCTAATTACAATACTCAGGTGGTAGAAGACAAATGTTCCTCTTTTTGTCTCCATCTTCTCCCTCCACTCCCACATCTTGCATTGGGGTAATTCTGCCTGATTAACTGCCAGATTCCAACAGAAAAGTTATGATCCCTCTTTACACAGAAGAAGTGAAAGATCAGAAACATCCTTTTTTGAGAGCTGAGTTTGAAACACTTCCAGAACCACAGTTTTTACACACACCGTGTCTAGACGTTTGGAGAATACTTTTTAAAGACAACACAACCTTTCTTTTATTCTGAATTCCCTCTCAAATCTGACCCTTTGAAGGAGTTCTGAATTGATGAATGGTCTTAGTCTGTTTCTAGACAAACATGCAAACATTCTAAACTGGAGGAAATTCACTTGCTAAATATGACCCTCACCCTTTAATCACAGAATACTAGGACTGAAAGGGCCCTCGAGAGGTCATCGAGTCCAGGCCCCTGCCCCCATGGCAGGACCAAATACTGTCTAGACCATCCCTGATAGACATTTATCTAACCGACTCTTAAATATCTCCAGAGATGGGGATTCCACAAACTCCCTGGGCAATTTATTCCATTGTTTAACTACCTTGATAGTTAGGAACTTTTTCCTAATGTCCAACCTAAACCTCCCTTGCTGCAGTTTAAGCCCCTTGCTTCTTGTTCTATCCTCAGAGGCCAAGATGAACAAGTTTTCTCCCTCCTCCTTATGACACCCTTTTAGATACTTGAAAACTGCTATCATGTCCCCCTTCAATCTTCTCTTTTCTAAACTAAACAAACCCAATTCCTTCAGCATTCCCTCATAGGTCATGTTCTCTAGACCTTTAATCATTCTCGTTGCTCTTCTCTGGACCCTCTCCAATTTCTCCACATCTTTCTTGAAATGCAGTGCCCAGAACTGGACACAATACTCCAACTGAGGCCTAACCAGAGCAGAGCAGAGCGGAAGAATGACTTCTCGTGTCTTGCTCACAACATACCTGTTAATGCATCCCAGAATCATGTTTGCTTTTTTTGCAACAGCATCACACTGTTTCATATTCAGCTTGTGGTCCACTATACCCCCTAGATCCATTTCAGCCGTACTCCTTCTTAGCTAGTTGCTCCCCATTCTGTATGTATGAAACTGATTGTTCCTTCCTAAGTGGAGCACTTTACATTTGTCTTCATTAAACTTCATCCTGTTACAACCCCTCCCAGCTTGGTATCACCTGCAAACTTAATAAGTGTACTTTCTATGCCAATATCTAAATCATTGATGAAGATATTGAACAGAGCCGGTCCCAAAACAGACCCATGTGGAACCCCACTTGTTGTACCTTTCCAGCAGGATTTTGAACCATTATCTCTATACCTCAGTTTCTTTATTTTCAGTAGGAGGTTTATCTACCTTGTATTTTACATTGTGCTGCCATGTGTTAGTAGGGCTTGGCTGTTCATGATGTTGGCTTTTTAAGCCATGTGAAGTTTGCTTAAAGCATATGGGATAGGCACCTGTTTTATACCAATCCAAGTAAATAAATATCTATCGAGTGTAAAACAACCTCAGATCAAACAACCCTGTGAAAAATAGTACTAAAATGTGATGCATTATTAAAAAAGTCAGAGCATGAAGAAATGCCTGACTATGGTTGTTTTATTTATTTTATTAATTATGCTGGCTAGTCAGTTTTGCCAAAGGATACAAACCCACACGTTTCCCTTTACCTTATGTGTGTGTGTCTGAAGGATTTGTACAGTTATTTTATGCAGCTGTGATGACAATATGTAGTTTATTTCTACAATTGTATGTTTAAACAGCAAGCTTCCCCCAAGAGCCTGGCTGAAAACCCCACCGTTATTTCCTTGCTCCTACTTAAATTTTTCATCACTGGCCTTTTGTTCAGTTTTGTTGATTTGATAGCAAAGTGATTTCTTTGGTACCAGGGAGGAGGTTCCTTGTGTGTTCATCAAGTGAAGGAGTTTGTTTTAAGAAACTATGCCTAGAACAGAAGGAATATTTCACTTTCCCATCTTATACGCACATTCAGCTAGTATTCAGTGGTGGTGACCTATCCACCCCCTTGACTCAAGAGCAAGAAAGCACTTAAGTATATTCTTAAGTGCTTTGCTGACTCAGAATTAGTCTTTAAATGAAAAGGATTTAATTCCTCTGACTTATATTGTTGATTATTCAAATGCAAAAATTAAAGAAAATAAAAACATGGGCAAAATTTTTCATTGCGAGAATTGGGTATGGAATTTACTGTACCTTACAATCTTGAATGAACATTTACAAAATTAAAAAAAAAAAAAAAAAAAAAAAAAAGAGTTGGCCCAGTTCTACCCCCTTGCCGCCATCTCTGAAGCATTGGTAGCATTTGCTTCTGCACCATAAGAATGAAGGAAAGGAATTTGTTAGGGTTAATCCTGCTATGCGTACGGGGTTGGACTAGATGACCTCCTGAGGTCTCTTACAATCCTAATCCTCTTGAATTCCATGAAAGCTTAGTGGGATGGGAACTAATAGCCATACTGGTTAGTGGGCTCTTTTATATTTGCTTTGCTTCAGAAACATTTCCACTGTAAGTATGCAAGGCATTGAATAAGCCAAAGAAAGAAACTAGAGGAAAGGTCAATGCATCATAGCTGTAGCTCACGAAAACTTATGCTCTAAAACCTTAATAAATGTGTTAGTCCTTAAAGTGCCACCAGACTCCTTGTTGTTATTGCTGAAACAGACTAACATGGCTACCTCTCCAAAATGTACCATATTCTGTATGGATGAGTAAATTCAGACTAAGGCTAATTCATACCTGGTAAGAGAGAGAGCTGACTTCCTTTTGGGGGGTCTGGCTTTGTTACCGAAGTAACTCAGGATAAACAACATAAATCACAGCCTAAACTTTTTCCTTAATTTGAATGCTCTTAAAGCTCTGCCCATAGGCCCTGATCCAGCAGAGTACTGAAGCCCATGACTCACTTTAAACATATGAACAGTAGTGGAACTGAGAGGGAGTTATTCACATGCCTGAAGTAAATATTGGATTGGCACCTTAATGCTCACTGGTATCAGATCCTTATTATTCTGCCAGAGTGCTATTCCCACTTTTCCTATATCTAGAGTAGGTTTTATTGAGCCACACCAATCGAATGAGATAGAAGTTAACCAACAACTTCTTGCAAAGTTCCAGCCTGCAATACTAAATGCACATATGAATCCATATCCAAACCAAATAGAAATGGATGAGTGGTTTTTAGGTAAATGGTACTGCCATGTAGACTAAAAACAGGTTGCAGTGGGGTATCATGGTTTAGAATTCTCAGTGGGTCCACTGAATGTTTCCATTGTATTTTGGCCAAACTGTCTCTTTGCTGTGATATTTCCGGCAGGAAGAGCAGTGAAAGAACAAGGGATGTCTTGGGCACAGAACTGTGAAAAGCCAATGCTGATGAAATGTCTGTAAGGCCGTGGATGGTCCAGGTGGAGAAATGCAGACAGACCATTTCTCGGACAGCCCTTATGTTGCTAAAACCAAAGAAGTGATGCGGAGTTTACTGAAGTCTGCCAAAATTTTATTTTACTTCTGCCACGGAACTCCAGGGGTTACACTTGCTAAGCAACAATTGTCTAAGGTATCATAACTCTTTTCTAAAATCAATCTATTCCACCCAAGCTTTAATGTGAGCTCTTTTTTTATTGCTCCTGAGAAGATTCTTGGAGGCTTTTCCCCTCATTCAAGCAAAGCTCCCACTGAAGTTAATGAAAATGGAAAGGTTCCCTAAGATTCAGCCCAGAGGCACGTACAGGTGAGTGGAGTGCTCAGTATCTCTTGAAGGAGTTTCTCACTAGTCTAATGTGATCTTCATTTTGAAAACTGAAATACAGATGAGCAAGGACTTGGAATGGTCTCTGCTGAATTAGACCCAACTTCTTAATACTATCTGAAATTGCTAATGCTTTAATAAGTGTGTCCAAATCCCACCACTGAATGCTCAAACTGGCACCGACAGCAAACCTATAGAGCAGGGATTTGCATGTCTACACTATATGCTGATTTGAAGGTCCCAGTGCAGCTTTTAGATAATTTAAGATGCTCAGGTTTGAAAAATTGTGCTTTGTATGTGAATGTTTGTTCTAAAACATAGACTTTTAGAAATCACCATAAAACTATTGAGATTTCCATTTCTGCTGTTTTTTTCTGAATCAGCAGATGCACAATATGGATTTGGTCTTCAAAATATCTTCATTGGGGCTCAGTCAAGGCAAAATATACATACAAGAAACCTTTAGAATTGATAATACATAAGATGTTAAATTTATATCGATATCTGTAATGAGCAATAATATCATTTCAACATTATCACACCATGAAAAAATCTCAGTCATCTTAAAGTCTGATGATATTAGTTTAAGAGATGCCTAAGATACTTAAAACTATTCTTGGCACAAATCTGGGCAAAATGATATGAGCCATTTCATTCAGGGAGGACATTAGTATCGTGTAACAACTGTTAACCAAAACCAGAGTCCTTTGTTCTACTGAGTTAAGTAGACCCAAGAGAGACAAAAATGTAGTCAGAATGTGTTTTAATATGATCAAATCAAAAATAAATTTTAAAAGCTTTTAATGATAGAACTTTCAAACTTTATGTTAAGAGGGAACTTTGGTTAATTAAAAAATAAAACCACCAACTAACCCAGCAACACCTATGATACCAAGGTTCCCTCTAAGCCAGTGTTTCCTGATTTTATTTGGCCATGGAACCCTTTTCAGCTTAAAATAATTTCAAGGAACCACTAGGGTTCCCAGAGTAAAATTTGGCAAGCAAAAAAAAAAAAAAGCCCCGCCAGAATTGGTTGAGCAAAAAAACCCTGCAAAATGCTGTGTCTCTAAGACGGGGCGGGACAATGCTGCATTCTCGCGGAACCCTTACTTTCGCTTTGCCGAACCCTGGGGTTCCACGGAGCACCAATTGGGAAACACTGCTCTAAGCTGTATAACAGCATGGCACTGCAGCTGCTTAATGAGCCCTGCCCAAGGACTCAGGGCTGCCGTGCACAGAGCTGCCCAGCTGTGGGAGAAGCACTTCTCCTGACTGGGAGAGACTTGCTGCTCTGTCCTCAGCAGGGAGTCCTAGGTATTCTACCCTAGGACTTCAGATGGCATTAGGACAGAATGGTGCACGTCACTTCTTGCTGCTAAGTGCCATCCATTGAATACTCATGGACTACTATAACAGCCTCTGAGGACAACACTCACACCTAAGTTACCTTGGATGGATGCCAGAGGATGACCCAGAAAAGAATCCAGACTCTGTCATATCCTTGATGCAAGGCGTGTGAGCTTCTTAAAGGTAGAAGGGTTTGTAACCAGCCAGCTAGGGGACACCGAGTTTGCTTTACAATGACCTTTTTCATGTAGGTATTTTGAATTCCACTGAATTCATTCCAAACCCTCTGGTTTTGCTAGTACATCATGAGAGAGATATTCTTTTGGGGGAAGTGGAGGCTGCACTCAGCATGTTCTGGGCCCATAAGTGACCACTGCAAGGAGGAGCATAATACAGAAGAACATCAGCGAAAGCATAATAGCCCAGGCATCATATCAAGGGAATACCCCGAGATGCTTTGCTGCTGGTGTTCTGCTCCATAGAGTGCAGGTGGTGTTTCCCATATATTAGCATCTTGGAGAGCACGATCTCTTCTCCAGAATTCTTGCAAGTCTCCTTGTTAGAGTCAGTCATTTGGGGGCTCCTCAGCACTAGGAAGCATGTTCCCTACTCTCTGTTGGGATGGTGTGTGTATTGGGATAGACCCGTGGTCCCCAACACGGTGCCCGCGGGCGCCATGGCGCCCACGGGGGCATTTCCATGCGCCCGCCAAGTGCTCGGGGCTGGCCTGGCCCCGGGCGCATGGCGGGGGGAGCGCCGGCCCCGGGCATGCAGCTATGGGAGGGGGCGCCCCTGGGGCGCAAGTGTCCCCGCCCCCTGGGGCCCGGCGGGGGGACGCGGGAGCGCTGGCCCCGGGTTCGCGGCACTTGGGAGGAGGGAAGTGCCGGGCGCGCGGCGCTTGGGGGGACACCGCCTCCGGGCATGCAGATATGGGGGGGCCCGCCCCCGCGCGCAAGTGTCCCCGCTCTCTGGCGCCCGGCGGGCGAACGGCCACGCCCTCTGGCGCCCGACAACCTGGAAAGGTTGGGAACCACTGGGATAGACTTACCACTATGGCACCTCCTGCTGGCTGTTTTGGGAATTAGCTCACAACCACCAGCATAGTTCGCTCTAGTGGTGATTCCCCATCACTTCTACTGTCTACATAATCTCCATCATCTGGACCTGTCTTGCTCCTGGATTGCGACATCTTCTTCAGGATACAACTCCCCTCTCTTATCTCCTCTTATCCTAGGAGCCTTTCCATTTTCATTAGCTTCAGTGCTGGGACACCGCTTCCTGTTTTCTGGGAACTACTATTAGCAACCAACAGGTGCTGTAATTGCCCATACTTGCAGAGGCACAGGTAAATATAGCAGCGCTGGTACACCAGGGGCTAACCCTGGCAAAGTGGATCTGGTCTGCAGGCCAGTATTTGTCCACCCCATCCTAGAACCTTCATGAGCTCCCCTTTTGCTTCACTACCCTGCCCAGCACTGCAGTATCTCAGTATCCCTGACAACCAGTCCTTCCTCCCTTTCTCTGAAGAAAAATTACCTTCTGCTCTGCTGGGCAGACTGTTATATATGGGCTTCTCTAACAAGCCTTCCCTTGATTGGTTCGCCCAAAAAGCCCTTTCCTAATTGGCCAGGATTCTGGGCAACCTCTCAAAGGCTGCCCTAACCCTTCATCTGCCTGTTTGTGGCTGTCGTTCCACCAAAGTCTGGCTTGCTCCTCAAAAGGATGTAGTGTGGTACCATAAGACAGGCTGGGATTGATTTGGAGCTTCAAGGTTTAATTTTCATCTGTGCTTCTGCATTACAATATCACTACAGCTGATCGCAGAGTTAATGTAACACTTAATTAACACTAGGTTAATTACTGTTGATCAAGTATTCAAGTGTGTGTATTGCTGCAGAAGAGTGCAATTTTTGCAAGCATCAGGATAATAATATGGAAAAGAAGCCTGCTCCTTTCTACAATTAAAATAACTACTATCTACATCATTGAACCAGTATTAAAGTGCAAAAAGCAAAGAAAGAATTCTGCACTATTGCTCTAGAGATTTCCCTCTAGTTTCACCCGCCTGCCAAAACCAGTCATCAGTGTGATTGCTGTTGAGAGACAGCTACTCATTCTCGCTGATGTAGCTAGCAACATACCTCTGCTATGACTGTTGTTGCCCAGAGACACTGATAACTGATCCTAGGAGAGCTGCTAGATCTGCTCAAGTTATTTTAGAAAGGCACTTCTTAAAGGATCTTTTCCTTTATCAGAAACCTATGTTTCTGCTGACAAAAAAAAAAAAAAAAAAAAAAAGGCTCTGTACATTATCTCAAAACATGTGTGTGACCCTTATCTCCATAGTATCTGAGCAAATGAGACTCAAACCACACAAAGTTGTGGTCCAGACAGAAACTCATAAGATATGCTATGTGATATGGTTTCCCACCATAGCCATTTTATATCTCTTGGAAAACTTCCTTGCATTTTGTTCTGCTCTATTAATTTTCTGTCACACAACACTCACTGAGGACCTCTCTTTTTTAGCCATGCCTAATGTCTTACCCTGGCTTAACTGCCTGTTGTCAGTCATTTAAATGGCCAGAGAACATGAATTTTAATGTGGCATATTCTAGGCAAAGTACAACTCACCATATAGCTGTATGGACACATTTTTCCCTTTCATTTAGATCTCCCAGTGCTTTGGAGTCTCTCAGAGCTTCTCAGATAGCTTGATGAACAGGACTAAAAACCCACAGCACCACTACAGGAGTATTAAAGTAACAAATGCATAGATATTATGACCACAGAGACAATTAGGACTTTCTGCATATCGCAAGCCAAAGAACTTCACACATTAATCCCAAAGTGAATTAACCAGTGACCTAAGTGACACAATGGAGTAATGCTCAACTATAGCAACAGTGAATTTTGTCCTTAGTCTGGAAAAGAAAAGACTGGCTCATGACAAAACAGGATTATTTTTGTGCGTATAGGGTATTAGAATACTTGGAGGTTGCTTTTGTAGTCAGTTCTTTCCATATCTCCAGTTAGACTCCTGCATTACTACCCCAATTTATTAAGCACTAAACACCCAATCTTCTGAGGTGCTGAGCATCGCTTGAGGTCAATGGGAGGTGAGGGCATTCAGCAGCTGTCAAGATGATCCTGATTTAAATTAGGCAGGGCCTACAATTTCCCAAGGAATGAGCACCACCGCCAAGAGAACCCTACACAAACCTAGCATTTCTCCTTCATGAAACAGAGAAAAACTGGATTGGTTTCAATCCAGCCTGAGCAATTGAGGGCTTTCTTTCTGAGCTAATTAACTAATTAACAAAGAAACATGCGTGGATTTTTTTGGACACAGAGGAAAACCGTACATTTCATTTACAGGCTGTGTGTTTTAAAGAGAGCACAGCTGTATCCTGTGAGCACAAGAGTCCAAATACATTCCTCCTCTCCCCATATCACCACCCATATTCCTGCACTCAAGTCTGCATTTTTACCTAAATGTATCAGGTCTCCCTTGGTAATGCTCTCCAAAAGCGAGATCTCCCTCTAATTTTATCCAGGAGCCTGTCTCTTGGGTGCCATCATGACTCTCTATTTAGCACAGAGAGAAAACATACCCATTTATTACTTAACGTTGT